TTTACACCTCCATCTATATATATAAATATAAATATAAATATATATATATATATATTTATACATGTGATAATAATATATAAAACATTATATATAAAGAGGAAGCGACTCATACTTTTGTATTTATTAATTTTTCTTTTGTTTTTCTGCTGTCTCTCTGCGCGTTAGGAAGACGCCTACTTGTTGTGTTTTTATCGAGGAGACACTGCAGTTCTTTGCTTTAAAACATGAAGACATATATATATATATACATATATAATATATATAATATATATACAATACATATGCTATATAGATATGTATTTATATTATATATAAACATTACTTATAAAGAATTTATTTGTGTCTGTTTATTGTCTTATTTTACTGTTATTAATAAAAAGAATGCATATTATTAAAATGATATATATATACATATAAATATATATATATATATATTTATTTATACGTCTATATATTATTTTAGTATATCCGCCTCAATACCTCGCCTGGCTTCTGAGGGAAAAGCAAAACAAAACAGCTTCAAACAAATTCAAATGCAGTAATTAAGCTGCATGTACACCTCAGAAGCAGCGAATGAAAAAATAATTTAGCTGCATGTACAGCTGAGAGCTGCATATACACCTCAGCTTCCTTTTTGTAAAACAACTCGTGGCGTCTTGAAAACCAAATAAATTTTTCATCCCTCCTCTTTTGCTTTTTTCTGCTTTGCTAGCAAACAGGTTATTTGCTCTTACTGTTCTAAGTATCCCTAATAAATAATAGAAACAACAACACAGCAGGAGCAGCAGCAGCAGCTGCTGCTGCTGCTGCTGCTCCAGCAGCAGCAAACTCCAACACGACAAAACCTCCACATTGCATTGTCCTTACGGATTCAAATTGGCGGGGACGCCAACTAAGCTAGCTAGACCCCTAGCTAGCTAGCTAGCTAGCTACTAACCAGCTAGCTAGCTAGCTAGCTAGCTGATTAGCCACCGCCACTGGCCACTAGCTAGCTGGGGTAGGGGCCCACGAAAGGCTGTTCGCAGCAGAAGGCAGCTGCCAATACTTGCAGTTTGAAAGGAAAAGCAAAAGTTGAAGGAAAAGAAACAAAATGCATCGACACCCATCGCTCTACAGCTACCTGCTGCTGCTGCTGCTGCTGCTGCAGCTTCTAAGCTGTGTCTTCTGCTGCTATTGAAGAACTTCTATGAAGACCCCAAAACTCCGATAGCCTTGTTATCACCTCACCTGCTAGCGAGCGTACATAGATATGCATGCATGCATGCACGGAACTGCCAGCATGCATGCATGCCTGCATGCATGCATATAGCTGCCTGGCTGCATGCATGCATACAATGGAAGTATGTACATCGATAGAAAGTATGCAAAAGTCGGAGCTGCATCAGTTGTCTGCATCTTCTTCTGGTTTGATGTGCCCTTCAGGCTTGGGTCCTTCTGTTTGCATGTCTTCTGCTGCATTTTGTTCAACTTCATCTTCATCCATTTTCGGGGCCAAGTAGAACTTGAAATGACCGAGCTTAGGGGCAGCACTGCGGCTTTCTCCCTGAATTGGGTCTAAGATATCAAATTTAACAGCAATTGGTCGATGTGCAGTTAAAGATAACTTGCAACAATTGCTCAAAGATGCAGCTTTCGAGAAGAATACAAGATATTTGACAGCGTACGTCTGGCTGACAGGGTGATTAACCTGAAACACAAAGAAAAGAAAATTCAAATTAAAGCTCCAAAATGCAATTATTTAATAAATTATTAACATATTATTCATGAAAAATGCGAAAAAACCGTCAGAAAAACATGAAATCGCAATATATGAATGAATTCATCTATTCATATTCAACTCTGAGGTGTACGTACACCTGAAGAACCGGAAAGCTGAATAAAACAGAAGAGAAAGCAAAGTGTTTTTTGATTGACTGACTTTAATATCAACTCCAACATCGAGATCATCATCAGAATTTCCCTCTCTTGGTTTTAATACCACTTCGCCTCCTCCTATATCTCCATTTGTAATAAATTTGACTCCGTTTTTATCTACATCAATACGCACAGAGTCACTGAACTCTTTGAGTGTATTTACAATTGAAGCAAATTCTTTCGCACTAAATGTTATTTCTACGTCGCCTTCTTCTTCGTCAGGGACTCCCAAAGACTCCTGCTCTATGCCCATCAAACGCAAACTAAAGGTAGAGGTCTTCTCCTCAGCTGCAGCGTATCAAACAAGAAAACAAAACTTGAAAATGTTTGCCTCTTTGCACTATAAGCATAACACCAATAACAGCAACCCTATTTATTATCAAAGACGAATATTGCTTTAGTTATATTTGTATTTATGCGTATGGAGAACAATACTCATGTTTACTGCTATGCACACAGAAAAAGTTAAACATCGAGAAAACACAAACCAAACATCAATACCAGCAAAAGCATAATAATAATAATAATAATAATAACAATAATAATAATAATAATAATAATAATAATAATAATAATAATAATAATAATAACAGTAATAATAGTAGCACAAAAGCTACTACAACTCCAGCAGCTGTACACCACAGCACAAGACCCACCATTGTTTTCAAATACAAATGTTATCATATCTCCCTCGTCTTCATTCTGTACAGACACTGTATCCTGAGAGCTGCACAACTTGAAGACCTTCACCACTGACGCCATATTTAATCCAAGAGAACGAGGGCGATCGCAGCGGTAGTGAAGAAAACCCACGTCTTCAAGTTTTAAAGACACAAGAGCTACGTGGGACTGGTCCATTGCCTGAAGCAACAAACCATAAACCCTAAACCCTAAACCCTAAAACAAGCAAGACAAAATGCTTTCCTGCTGCAGCAGGGGACAGCAGCGCTCAAGCGGTGTGGCCACTGTACATACACACAGAAAACTTGAACATACATACACAAGAAAAACCTGAAAATCTATTGGAAACCTGAACATACACCCTAGTTAGCCTAACAAACACGCGGAAGTTGAACACATCTACATGAGTATCCTGGACATACACACACACGCGGTGGTGTACATACACCGGAAAAGTGAAGCATTATCGATCTAACCTGAAAAGAGAATTGTTCAGAAAAGCAGAGGAAATTCAAAAAGTAGTTACCTGCAATTTGAGTCCCGATTCGTCGCAGTCTAAATTCACCTCACTGACGAGACACGTCATAGCCTCGAAAACGCGTTTAAGAACGACGGCGTTTTGAAGTCTGGCTTCGAGCATTTTCGTGTAGATGTTGAAGAGAAAAAGAAAAAGAGGAAATTAAGCAGATGGCGGGTGGCAACCTCGCCTCTTGCAGGTATGAAATCCGCGCCGCAGTTGAAATACGCGGTCTTTGTGGAGCAATTTTGCACAAAACGGAGAAATAAGAATTTTTTCTCAATGCTGCTATAAAAGGGAAGGGATTTATTGGTAAAAAACGCAGAGGGAAACGAAGAAGACGACGCAGACAAGCGCCGAAACCAAGAGGGGAGGCAGAGGGTGGTTTGGGGTGGTGGGGAGGGGAGGGGGGCTCTATTTGCGGCTCTGCATGAAGGCCACTTGTGTAAAAGGAGTTAAATGTACATTAGTACACTTTTACGTACGTGTCATCCGAAATAAATGCATTTCATTAACTCAAGTGCTACAAGTTGTTGTATGATGATTGGCTCATGAAGCCACTCCCTTACTCACTCGATCTGAGGTGTACATACACACCAGACGCCAAGCTTCCCATTGAACCGGCATTTCTGCATATTCATGTTCTAATAGAAGGCACGAAGCTGTTTGAAGTGACTTCTATTCATTAAAAACATGAGGAAAAGGTTTATTCATCACCAGATCTTCATTTTCGGCAGCTTTCCGTATTTTCTTTCAGGTATCCACTTTACTTTGCCACCGACGGTCGAGGGGGCTTTGAGTAAGAGGGCCCCAAGCGCCACCTCTGCCTCTGTCTGTTTCCCTTTCTTCCACAGACGTTTCAACCCCTCTGTTTCAGCAAGAAAGTCCTTTCAGGCTTTCCACTACAGCTGATAGAGGTTCAGCCTTCTCTCTATGCTGCAGCACTCCCCAGCATGCACTTTCTCTCGGTTGGCGCAGCTTGGGGAGGCGCCGCTAGGCGGGTAAGAAGGTCATTAAGAGTTCTTCTTCCTTTCTTCGCACCGTTTAAAACACAAATTTCATGTTTACAGAAAGCTGCTAAACAAACCCCGAGAAGTTTATAATGCATGCATGCCTTCCATCAAGTAGACGCCCCGCCTGCCTCCTGTTCTCTATCTGCACGCTTACCCCTCGCTTCCCTCTTCCACTTAGCCGATTCTTCTCTTTCCCTTTATTTAATTTGAGACAAACGGAGCGCTGCAGCGTCCACCAGCTGCAGCAGCTGCAGCAGCTGCAGCTGGCTCCGCCTCTGCTGCCTTCTTCTCCGTAGCAGCAGCATCAGCAGCAGCAGTAGGTGGCGCAAACAGCAGCTAGCGGCGGTGTATGCGCTGCATTGAATCTGTTTCGTAGGCTGTGTGCTTGTGAGTTGTCTCTTTAGTTGCTGTAGGAGCGGCATGAGTGATACAGCAGCAGCCTGGTGGCAGCTCCCTCCCCTCTAAGCCTCTGCAGCAGCAGCTGGGGGCCCCCTGGCGTCTGTACAATGCTAGATGAGCAGCAAGGCGAAGCGGGGGAGTTCCTGGGGCCCCCCAGCACCGATGAGGGGGCAGAGGGAGGTGGGGGGGCCCCCATAGAACCTACAGATAAGACAAGGAGGCCCTCTTGTTTTGATAATGATACTTCAGATATATGCAATAATGAAGATATGCAGGACTCCTCTCCTCCTTCTCTCTCCCCAAGAAAGAGCAAAAGAAACTCCAGGAAGAGGCCTCGTATTTGTAAAAAAAGAATTAAACAGGAGCAAACAGAGTTGGCTGCTACAGGTGCCTTACCTGCCGAAGCATCACCCCCTACAGGTGCTGCTGCTGCTGCTGCTGCTGCTGCAGCTGCTGCTGCGCCAGTACCTCAGCATCCCCAAGTCACAACACCTGCAGGAGTCGCCGCCGCTGCTGCTGCTGCAGCTTCTCCAGCAGATATCTGCTGCAGTACCCTTCAGCAGCCAGCAGCAACAGCAGCAACAGGAGCAGCAGCTCCTCCTCTCTTCGGCGCCTTCCCGCTGCAGCACCAGCAGCTGCTGCCTCCTGCTGCAGGGCCCCCCCCTCTCTCTGGGCCCTCTGAACTTTCTCCTCTGCAGCAAACCCTCGAACCTCGGCTGCTTCCATTCACTGAACCTGTGGGGGCCCCAGGGGCCCCCGAAACCCCCGGGGGGGGCCCCCCTCCAGTGGGGCCCCCACCACCTGTGGGGCCCCCGGGGCCCCGCTACCCCCCACAGCAGCAGCAGCAGCAGCAGCAGCAGCAGCAGGGAGATGCATGCATGACAAGGGGCCCTTGGCTGTCGAGCGTTGTGAAGAACGGAGGGACTGAAGGGTCTCCTTATCTAGGATCTGCTGCTGCTACTGGTGCTGCTGCTGCTGCTGCTGCTGAGGGGCCCCCCAGCGAAGCAGAAGTTGTCGCTTTTATTTCTTTTCTTGTTCGGAGGCCCCTTATGAATACGAAGCTTGCTCCATGTCTAATGGCTGAGGTGGAGAGGGCCTGGTGGGCAGCAAAGCAGCAGCAGCAGCAGATGCAGCAGCAGCAGATGCAGCAGCAACAACTGCAGCAACTGCCGCAGCCGCAGCAACTCCAGCAGCCACCACTGCAACAGGCACAACAGCTGCAGCACCCGCAGCTGCAGCACCCGCAGCCGGCCCATCAGCAGCAACAACAGCAACAACGACGGGATGAAGACCAGCAGCAGCAGCAGCAGCAGCAAGGTCTGGAGAGCAGTGAAGGCCGGGAGACAGACAAACAACCTGAGAGAGAGGTAAAGCAAGAACTAAGCCCCAAAAGGCTACAAACGCATGCAGAAGGGGGGGGCCTGATGCGGGATACAGAAGCAGCAGCAGGAGCAGCAGCAGGAGCAGCAGCAGCAGCAACAGCGCCTCCTGGTGCAGCAGCAACTCCTGCGTCTCCCCCCCCTTCTGCTGGGTGCGGACCTATCGGGTATAGAGCAGCAGCAGGTACTTACGGAGAGGAAGCAGACCCGCCAGCTGCTGCTGCTGCTGCTGCTGCTGCTGCTGCGGCTGCTGGGCCGGCGTATGCTGTTGCTGCTTCCTCGAGGTCTACAGCGCCTGTGTGCGCCCCCAGCAGCAGCGACTGCACGATGTCGTTCTCGGCATTGCAGCAGATGCAGCAGAATGATGTGGAGCAGCACCAGCAGCAGCAGCAGCACCAGCAGCTACAGCAGCAGCAGCTGCAGCAGCAACAGCTACAGCAACAGCAACAGCAGCTGCAGCAACAGCAGCTGCAGCAGCAACAGCTACAGCAGCAGCACCTACAGAGGCACCAGCATCTGCAGGAAATGCAGCACCTCCAGCAACAACAACTGCAGCAGCAGCAACTGCAGCAGCAGCAGCAACTGCAGCAGCAGCAGCAACTGCAACAGCAGCAGCAACTGCAGCAGCAGCAGCTGCAGCATCAACAGCAGCAACTGCAGCAGCAGCAGCAGCAGCAACTGCAGCAGCAGCAGCAGCGCCGGCTGCGCCCTCAGGAATGTATGGGGGCCCCCAGCATGCAGTTCTCTCCGCCTCCTGTGTTGAATTTGTCTTCTTCTAAATTAACATCGGAAGCAACACCGGATGCTGTCTCTTCTCCTGCTGCCCTGGTTTCTCTCGGCCCTCAGGGGCCCCCTCAGGGGGCCCCCCAGGGAGCCCCCCAAGGGGCACCCCAGCAGCAGCAGCAGCAGCAGCAGCAGCCTGACGGGGTGCCTCCTGGGGCCCCGGGGGGCCCCCCTCAGCTGAGTTGGATGGGCGGATGAAGAGACAGCAGCAGAGGAGACAGTTTCATCGGTTTATGCTTCCGCTGGGGGCCCCCTGGGGCCCCCAGCGCCCTAGGTGTCTTAGAGACCCTAAGGGGCCCCCCTGGGGCCCCAGGGGGCCAAAGAGACCCTAAGGGGCCCCCATGGGGCCCCATGGGGGCCCCACAGAGACCCTGAGGCCCTGCGGCCCCCAGGGGGCCCCTAAGGGTTCCCCGGGGGGCCCCTCTGGGGGCCCCTGAGGGTTCCCCGGGGAGCCCCCCAGGGGTCTTCTGAGGGTTCCCCTGGGGGCCCCCAGGGGGCCCTAGGAGGCGCAGAGGGACCGTTAGGCGGCCCCCCGGGGCCCCATTGGGGGCCCCTGCTGATGTATATGCATGCATGGTTGTATTGTATTGTGTATGTGCTTGTCTGTTTGTTTGTTTGTTTGCTTGTTTGTTTGTTTATTTATCTATTTCTTTGTTGCAGTTGCTATATGATGATGTATATTCACAGAGAGGCAAGAAGACGCTGCTGCACTGTTTATATGTAGGGTCTTCTTGTTTCTTTGCTTTTCTTTTTGTTTTTCTTTATTAAATATCAGAGCTGTCGATACAGCCAAAAAGGGCTCCACCGACTGTTTCTTTTTCTTTTTGATTTGTCTTCAGCAGGGTAATTCAATGAAGACTTCAAGCACGCAAACTCCGAGCTAGCTAACCAACTAGCTAACCAGCTAGCTAGCTAGCTAGCTAGCCACCCAACTAGCTAACCAGCTAGCTAGCAATATAGCTACCCAGCTAGCTAACTAGGCAGCTAACCGGCTAGCTAGCCAGCCAGCATTCAGCTAGCCATATAGCTAGCCAGCTAGCCAATCGCATAGGCAGCTAGCTAGCTAGCTGCCTAGCTTGCTAGGTAGTCAGCTAGCTAGCTAGCTAGCTAGCTAGGTAGCTGTTCCTTCTTGCAGTGTGCTGTTCCTGTTGCTGCTGCAGCTGGCGGTTTTCTTCTTTATCTGCTGCAGCACTTTATATTGTTTATTTATTTATTTATTTATTTATTTATTTGTTCGTTTTGTTTATTTGTTTGTTTGTTTACTTTTTTATACATGATACGGGCCTTCTCTCCTCTTTTGTGCTTGCTGTTTATTTTTTAGATGTCTTTTTTCATATCTTTGTTTTTAATTTGTTTTTATGTTTTTGTTTGTTTCTACCTTGAGTGTGTATTATTATTGCATCTTATTGTCTCCGTCTGTCTCCGATTGTCTCTTTGTTTTTGTTTTATGTTTATTTTTATATCTTTTATCTCTATTATTTTTTTAATATCTTTTTCTTCCTTCTGTCTCATTATTATTTATGTTTATTTTTATTTTTATTGTCTCTAACTACACTTTTTATGTTTATTTTTATTTCTTATTGTCTCTGAACTTTTTTATGTTTATTTGCATTTCTTATTGTCTCTAAACTTTTTATGTTTATTTGCATTTCTTATTGTCTCTAACTAAACATTTTAATGTTTATTTTTAATATCTCTAACTAAACTTTTTATGTTTATTTGCATTTCTTATAATCCACCTTTACTTTTTTTGTTTGTTTTTCTCTTCCTTTGTCTGTCTCTTTATTCTTTTTTGTGTTTCTTTCGCTTTCTTTTTGTCCCCTTTTGTTCATTTCTTTATATTTATATTTATATTTATATTTATATTTATATTTATATTTTTTATATTTATATTTATATTTATATTTATATTTATACATTTATAATTTATATTTACATAAATATAAGTATAGGTGTAGATATAAATACAAATATTAATATGCATAGAAAATAAAAATAAAGATATATTATTAACAATTTAATAACATATATTTATTTATTTATTTATTTTTTATAGATTTATTGAGTAAAAACAAAACAAACGCAGCCGCTAAGAGGCAAATAAACATAAAAAGAATAAATAAATATTTTAAAAAATAAATAATAAAAATATTACGTTATTGTTTTATTATTATTAATGCCATCGCCAGCTTCACAAACAAGACGGGGAAAAGGAGACAAACTGCAGCAGCAACAGCAGCAGCAGCGGCAGCAGCAGCAGCAGCTGTGGGGCCAGCGGGGTGTCTGTACGTGCAGCAGCTGAAGCAAATATAATCTCTTCTCAATCTTTGTTAATGAAATATAATATTTAAAATTATAAAGAATGCAACTGAGGCCTTTTTAAAGACAAAGATAGAGCAGCAGCAGCAGCAGCAGCAGCAGCAGCAGCAGCAGTTGTCTTCTGCTGCAGCACTTTGCTTCTTTTTGTCTCCTTCCCTATCATTCATTTGTTGTTACATTTAGAAATATAATAAAATAAAAATAATAAATAACACAGCAACAAATAAAGAAATAAAATAAGCAAATAAAGCCTAGAAACGCTATACGCCAACAGCAGCAACAGCAGCGGCAGCAGCCGCAGCAACAGCAACAGCAACAGGAAGACCAACAGAAGCAGCAGCAGCAGCAGCAGCAGCAACAGCAGCAGCAGCACCACCTGCATCTTCTTCAGCATCACCATCAGCAACAACAGCAGCAACAGCAACATCAGCCGCCGCCGCCTCAGCAGCAGCAGCAGCAGCAGCAGCAACAGCAGCAGCAGCAATAGAAGGATGTCATCTTCATCAGGTGTAGATCCATCAGTCTCTTTGTCTCCACTTAAGCGACGTCTGCTGCAAGCAGCAGCAGACTGCGGGGCCCTTCAGTTTAAATGTGTTTATTTAAAAAGCAAAAGGCTGTCGCCTTTCTTCTTTGACTGCGGGAAGTTTAAGGATGGTGCAGCAATAAAATTAATTGCTGAAGCATATGCAACCTCCATATACACCGCAAACATCAAATACGACTTCATCTTCGGCCCCGCATACAAAGTAAACCCTAAACCCTAAACCACAAACCACAAACCACAAACCCTAAATCCTAAACCCTAAACCCTAAAACCACAAACCCTAGAGCTTAAACCACAAACCCTAAAACATTAACCCTAAAACATTAACGCTAAAACATAAACCCTAAAACATTAACGCTAAAACATTAACGCTAAAACATTAACGCTAAAACATTAACGCTAAAACATTAACCTTGAAGCACAAACCCTAGACCCTAAACCACAAACCACAAACTCTAAACCCTAAACCAAAAACCCTAAACAGCAAACCCTAAATAGAAAATCCTAAAGCATAAATTACAAACCCTAAACCACAAACCCTAAACCCTAAAGCATAAACCACAAACCCTAAACCCTAAAACATAGACGCTAAACCCTAAACCACAAACCCTAAATCACAAACCCTAAACCACAAACCCTAAACCACAAACCCTAAACCACAAACCCTAAAACATAGACGCTAAACCCTAAGGCACAAACCACAAACCCTAAAGCATCAACAGCAAACCCTAAACCCTTGACCGGAGGCTCTAAACCCCAAATCCTAGCCGGATACCCTAAACCCTAAACTGTAAACCCTTGAACGTAGGCCTTTAGAATCTAAACCCTAAACCCTCAAGAAGAGGGCTTTAGGGTTTAGGGTTTAGTTTTTTATTGTTGCTTTTTACGGTGTATAGACGACTCTCGCTGCATGCATTACAGGAGTGTGTTTGTTTATACATCTATTTTCATATTATGCTGCTGCTGCTGCTGCTGCTTCTTCCTGTGCTGCTGCCGCTATTTTTTCTCTTTCGCTGCTG